CCTTTGGTTTAATCACCTCGTCCGGAACGTGGCTTGGGCCACGGGTGTGGGCACGGGGCGGGCGAGGTGGCGGGTCTGACACAGGCCCGTAACAGAGGGCATTTTCAAAGATTTTGATATGGGATAAAAATTCCTTTTAGTTTGGCTGCAGAATATTGTATCTTTGGTTTGTCTATAATGTATTGTGTACATAGTTATTTATATTTTTTTATGTTAATGAATCATTTTCCCTATCAATACTATATCGTTCGAAAATAAATTTATTTTGTTAAACTTTTAAAACTACATCCTGGTAAAAATGTAGGATTTCGTCAGGTAATGTTTTCATCTTTTACAAAAACACACAGAGAATACACACACATGTATGTATCTGAGAAGATGACTAAGAACTCAAGATTATCACACGCGAAGAGTAGAATTTTTTGGTGGATGAATATCAGAGTCCATACTTAACTGACATTAACTATAATCTTATCCATTTTATTTGTTTGATCAGGAAAATGTGGATTTCAGTTTATATTTCCAGTAGTTCAAAATATCACCATTCAACAATGTGCAAACCATATTAATTGCCACAAAAGCAAGAACCATGCAGGGGACATTATCTTGTTCGTATTTTCTATTAAGAAATATTCAGGTAGAAGATTTTAACAAGAAACAAAGTAAAATCTGCCGCCAGCTGCAAGTTAGCAAGCTGCAATTTTAAGGGGGGTTTATTCTTCTTCTTTTTTTTTATCGATCTTCTTTATTATAATATCCAGCAAACTAGGGAGTTCCACCTGTTTCGCGTGGATAGTCACTAACAATTAAAAGGAAATTCAGACGATTGTGTAAGGGACAAACCTCTTAAGACAGAGTTCCAAAAAGGGATGCTTTATTAATGAGAGTTACAATTGGAACTAAACAGAATATCTCTAAGGGGAGCAAACACACGAGTACTGAAAGAAGGATAATTAAAGTTAATCTAAAAAATTGAAATTACATATTCTCTGTTTGAGAGTGTTTGATTCGGGGTCTTTTCTCTTCTTTCCTTTTATATTCTCATGATGATTTTTTCGTGACAAATCGCTTGAAAACTGCTACCTATTTTCTTCATGGTGGCTAACTTGTCGTGGAACTGCCATCTCCAACTGCTGCCATTACTC